GATCTCAATATAAGTAATAAATTGCTTGAATTTTCCCCCCAAAGAGTCCAAACGATTCAAAATAAACTTCTGGTAATCCTTTTTGACCCCTTGTCTTGATGTCAATACAAATCTTCGGGCGCCTAAAAACACCATCCAATGGATGAGCTCGAGTCCAAATCCACCCAAACCTCCGGTTATAATATAAGTCTTGTTGGGATCAAAGTATGTCTTCCTCGTGACCATCAGTCTTTTACTCGGAGTGAAACCGCTTTTTGCGATTTTATTGCTCTCTTCCTCTCGAGTTTTAATAATGATTTTTCCGATGTGTTTACCGGTTGTCATGAATCGGAAGGCTTTCTCTGCCTCTTCGGCTGTGAAGACATTTTTATTGATTGGTTTAATCATTCCGTTGTTGCAGTTCTCGTGCATCCAATCGAAGAACTTTTTAGTGAAACCTCTCTTCATATAAAGTTTCTGATCGACTGATACTCCGATGAAAGAGATGTCTCTCAAGAAGGCAAACATTCCCAACTGTTTGTTCATTTGGAGGTCATATTTGCCGATCTCTACAAAGCGACCACAATCTGCTAAACACTCATAACTTGCATCCAATTTATCGCCAGACAATGAGTTGAGAACCATATCGACTCCCTTTCCTTTAGTTATTTCTTTGATTCTATACTTAAACTGAGTGTTTCTCGAACTGAATATTTTTTTGTCGGGAATATTGTATGTATTCATCAAAAACTTTCGCTTCTCTTCTGAACCATATCGACTCCCTTTCCTTTAGTTATTTCTTTGATCCTATACTTAAACTGAGTGTTTCTCGAACTGAATATTTTTTTGTCGGGAATATTGTATGTATTCATCAAAAACTTTCGCTTCTCTTCAGTGCCGACCGTTACATATATATCGCAGCCATAGTATTGACAGATACTGATGGCTGCCTGACCCACACCACCGGCGCCCGAATGGATCAAAATTGATTCACCTATAAAATGTATAGTGCATTTTAATTAACCAGCACATATACCACGTACAATCAATAACTAACCTTTTAACATGTGTGCCCTTTCTATCAATCCATACCACACTGTACTATAAGTGCAGAGTATAGTCATGGCGTCATCCATAGACCAATTGTCTGGTATATGAGTAATAAAGTCTTCGTTGGCATCAATAGATGTGGCATAACATCGACTCATATCGAAACCACAGACTCGCTCTCCAGTGTCGACCCGACGGCCCGCGAATTCAAAGCCAATCAAACAGTCCATGAATAGCATCTGAGGTCCAGAAGCTATTCGGCCTGTTGTGACAACATTCAAGTTTAACCCTATATTCAACTCAATGTCTTTAATAAAAGTACAAACCCGTGGCAAACATGACATCTCTGAAGTTCATTCCAGCGCTGTATACATTGCACGGAATCTTTTTGGTCCGGGTATTCATGAAGTCATAGTCCTCTTTATTTGTCACCAAATTCTTCGAGTCATACCATTGAAGAGATGATAAGTCTCTGTTGTGCCCGACATTCAAGAAGTAGTCGTTTGACTCGATTCTGTCGTAATCTTTAGGTAGAGTGAAGTTTCCTCTTTATGTGTCACCAAATTCTTCGAGTCATACCATTGAAGAGATGATAAGTCCCTATTGTGCCCGACATTCAAGAAGTAGTCGTTTGACTCGATTCTGTCGTAATCTTTAGGTAGAGTGAAGTGTCTGTAAGTACCAGTCTTTGCGCCTTTAATCACATTAATAGCCAAATCGTTGGATAATATGTCGGATAAAGGTTTTTGTTTGAAATTGATGGATCCTTTGATGAGATTGTCGTAATCAAAGACACATCTCAGGGCTTCTCCTCCCGGCTCTAAACGAAGACAATTAATGAGACCAATGATGCCGTTCTTTGACGTGTCGTTTGCGATGAGCCAAAGATTTTCATCATTTGAATCGTTTTCTTTCAATTCAACAATTTTTTGCTTAAGAGTCTCAAACCATTTCTCGGGATTACTATTGATTTCGACAATATTCTCCTTTTTTTGTCGTTTGCGATGAGCCAAAGATTCTCATCATTTGAATCGTTTTCTTTCAATTCAACAATTTTTTGCTTAAGAGTCTCAAACCATTTCTCGGGATTACTATTGATTTCGACAATATTCTCCTTTTTCGGAACTTTTGGCTCAGAAAATACTTTCCTGAAGAGCACAGCCATGGATCCGATAGTATCTAATTTGCGGCCAATTATATTGAATCCAACGCTTTGTGCGATTTCCACGAAATCAACGATACGTTTCTCCAAATCTGAATTCTTTAGATCTTTTTTGCCATTCATTTGATTCAATGCCAGCTCTGGTTCTGTCAACTGATACCTGAAAACTGAAACCAAAAATCCTTTGTCTGTAATGACATCATAAATCTCCTGCAATTGTTTCTTTGTATTGATGTCCCATAAATCGTATGAGTCTTTAAGAAGTATAAGATTTGCTGAATTGATATCATTGGGAAAGACACTGTTCTTGTGATTCCATTCAATGAGTTTAAACGATTGGTTTTTGAAGTTATCGCTTATCTTAGAGATTGTTTTGACAGCAATAGTGTAATTGACATCAATTGGGTAGATGTGGGAAGAGGCCAACTGGCTGTCAACCTCTTTAGCCAGCAATCTATTCGTTAAATTAATTTCCAAGACTTTGATCTCTTTTTTAGGGACTAAACACTCGCTCACAATATCGACGAGGGAGCGAAGCAAATGTTCATTCTTTGAGACCTCGTTAATGACATCTAAAGACATATCATATTCAGGATTGTTTTGAAGATCAGTACAGATTTTGTTTGTATTAATGTTTCGATTCTCATCAATACATCCCTTATAGACTTCATTAAGAATTTTGAGTAAAATGTGATTTTCTTTAATGTCTTTCAAGTATTTATTAACCAATTTATCGGTTATAGTTGTGTCCACTTTATTATTATTTGAATCCATCACTTGTTTTATTTTATCCGCAAGTGATGAACAAACCTATTAATAATAACACATCTACTTTATAATCTCTATAATAACCGTATACAAGCACATTTATACAAACCTTGACATATTCTTTAACCATTTTCTTATCGCACTCTTCAATGGCATTACTCTCTTCATTGGCCGCGAATTGATACGATTCTAGTTTCAAGTCTTGGATATTAGACTTACGGGGTATGGGAAGTGCCATCAATTCCTCCACTTCTACACCACACGTGACAATCATTCTGGAGTTCATATCGACATAATATGGCAAAACAGACGGATAGACGTGATATTCTTTGCCAAATAGCTCTTCGATGTATTCGACACTATTTGTGGACAGAATTCCCTCGACTTCCGACTCGTCATTATTACCTTCACTTAACATAAGCTCATCGATCCTATCATCAGATACTTGTTCAGCCATATCCTTCTGTTCGGACACTTTATGAGAGGCCACCCCTTCGTAAAGAGCCTTTGGGTCACATCTAAGCGACTTAATCATCACCGGAACCATCATTTTTCTGAAAGGCATGGCAGCGGCCATTGTTTGCAACAGAGAGTCCATGAATGTGATCCAATTGCCATCCCAACTGATTTCTCCCTGAATTGTCTCAAAGTCATTGGTTTTCACGGATTTTATTCGTCTAAACTTCGGGCCGTAATCATAGCCAAGAACTTTCAAATCCTTGTAGAGATCACTAGTCGTGAGATTGACTTCAAACTCCTCATTGAGTGTCGACTCCGTGTCCACTAAAATGTTTTGCAAACTCAACACATACTCATCACTCGTACGGATCTTTCCAACACACGTAACGTTACCGCTCTCTAGGATTACAAACTCGCCTAAAGAATTAAAAGTCAAAGTTAAGATATTATGATAGTATTAATCAAGATAGTTTTTTAATATCATACAGTAGGTACTGAAAATAATTGTATACAATAAAAATATACCAGAGTTCTCGTGATATCTGACTTTAATGCGTGTGATATCAGTGTCTGACAAGAAGATGGGTCGTCTGAACTGGACGTCCTCGAAGATTGCGGGCAATTGGTTCCACTGCTTCCCATAATGGGCTCCCATTCGTCTCCAAGCGAGCAGTAGATACCCCGTCGCCGGGTATAACACATTGCCGTCAATGCAATGCTCGGGTAGAAAAGCCTTTAGACTTTGTGTCGGATTGTAAACTTCATTCATATCGGAGTTGTAGGATCTGAAGTGATAATCAGGGAATTTACGGACATGATTAGAGTGCTCATGGTCCCATTTCAATAGGGAACTGATTGATTGGGTACTCCTAGCGACAGGCCATTCCACTTTAGGGTACAGGTTCTCAATCAAGGGATTGAGTCCCAACTCATATAGCTTGGCGATTGAACTCAAAAACATATCGAGGTTAGTATCGTTTGCATCCTTTTTAATGAGCGAAACATAAGTTCCCGATTCGAGGGTTTCCTTCACGACTTTGGAGAAGAGTCCGTGCGGTCCGATCTCTAGGATCAGTGCATCGGACGGCAAGTGTTTGAACTTATTGTAGAAATAGACGGGACTTATGAGGTTATGCACGAAATACTCGGCAGAACCAGACTTAAGGGTATTATCTAAATCTGATTCAATTACAGCAGTAGAGATCCATTTCTTAGACCTTGGCTTAGGATTAGGCACTATCTTCTTGAGCTCATCCGTCAATTTCTTGGCAGAAGTCATGAGATATTCGCTGTGATATGGGATGTCATGACTTTGAAGTTCGCGAACAAACACTCCTTTTTTGTTCAAGTCTTCAACCATTTGTTTGGTCTCATTGTATAAACCTTTCAAATACAATATACAGGAATAAGTAAATTTGTTTTTCATTAATACATTTAAGTTGATAATTACCAGAAATAACAACAGTATCCTTTCCGTTATTACAGACAACACTCGTGCCTTTCGGACACAACTTCTTCGCCTCATTCCAGGACAGCCCGACGACAGCCATCAGTCCTTTCGGTATTTTCTTATCGCTTTCGGTCACAACTCCTCTTCCTTTCCGTTATTACAGACAACACTCGTCCCCTTTGGACACAACTTCTTCGCCTCATTCCAGGACAGCCCGACGACAGCCATCAGTCCTTTCGGTATTTTCTTATCGCTTTCGGTCACAACTCCTCTGTAATAGGTTACCAAAAGTGCTTCTCTGGTGTTCAGACATCCGTCGGCATAAGCGGCCGCTATTTCACCGAAAGAGTGACCCATAATTCCGTCCGGAATTATCCCAAGAGCTTGAATGACATCACATAACGCTATCTCTATAGCAGTTGTCGCACAGAATTTGTTTGTCATATTAGACATCGAGTTCTTGTCATCAGACAAGAGAAGGTGTTTTAAGTCTATGTCATAGGGTTTGAGTATTTCATGACATTCCTCTATCTTATCGGCGAAGATCTTGATTGGCATCAAAGCCTTAGCCATACCGACCCACTGTCCTCCCAAACCCGGGAACAAGAAATATACGGGTCTTTGGGTTTTCAGTGTAAACATTGACGACTGCTTTTTATACTCGTATTGATTGTCATTCAACTGCTTTATAATAATTGATCCTAGGCAAATATTCAAATGTATAATAATTTATAAACTAATTTATGAATATTAATAAATACCTCTAAATGGGAATCCACTTGAGTTGAGTGAGGGCTGAATTCTCATAGTTTCAGCCATAAGTGCCAGAAAGTCCCTGGTTATTTTGTTGGGATTATTCTCAATGAACTGAAACACCTCATTCAACGCCTCCTCAGTTCTGCAGCAAATGTTAACAATCCTGGGAATAGTGTCCGCAATCTTAATGCTATTCTCGTCACAAACTTTATAATTGGGTTCAAGCAATACGTTTGCGTTCACACCTCCCACTCCAAAGTTGTTCACTCCAGCGATACCTTAATTTTAATCGTAAATATTATAATACAAGTAGATTTACATTATTAACAGTAAGTAAATTATACTAATACTCTGTATAACATACCCGGAGTATATTTGGTATTTTCGACGACAGGACTCAGTGGGGGACAAAACTCTTTAATGTTAGCCTTAATGTTGGTTAAGTGGAGGTTCGGAGGAATGCATTCATTTTCAAATGCAATCAACACTTTGGTTACAGACGACAGACCAGAAGCGCCCTCCGCGTGGCTGTTGTTCACTCCAGCGATACCTTAATTTTAATCGTAAATATTATAATACAAATAGATTTACATTATTAACAGTAAGTAAATTATACTAATACTCTGTATAACATACCCGGAGTATATTTGGTATTTTGGACGACAGGACTCAGAGGGGGACAAAACTCTTTAATGTTAGCCTTAATGTTGGTTAAGTGGAGAGCCGGAGGAATGCATTCATTTTCAAATGCAATCAACACTTTGGTTACAGACGACAGACCAGAAGCGCCCTCCGCGTGGCCGATGTTGCTCTTCAGTAGTCCCACATTCAGAGTGCCCTTCCGTTCAGGTTTACCACAGTATGCGTTGTATATGGCTTTTGCTTCCTGAGGATCTCCTACCTAAATGTCATGACATCAATAAAAACTATTTTATAAGACATATTCACTTCATACCTTAGTTCCCGTGGCGTGAGCTTCAAAATAGTTGACTTTCAAGGGATCCACGTCTGCCTCTTCATACACTTTAATCATGAGCTCCTCCTGACTCTCAGCCGACGGGTAAAACATTCCCATCCTTTTGTTGCCGTCGATATTCACTCCTGAGTTCAAAACTGTCGCATAAATACGTTTTGCCTCTGATTTGCGTACCCGGAGTATATTTGGTATTTTCGACGACAGGACTCAGTGGGGGACAAAACTCTTTAATGTTAGCCTTAATGTTGGTTAAGTGGAGAGCCGGAGGAATGCATTCATTTTCAAATGCAATCAACACTTTGGTTACAGACGACAGACCAGAAGCGCCCTCCGCGTGGCCGATGTTGCTCTTCAGTAGTCCCACATTCAGAGTGCCCTTCCGTTCAGGTTTACCACAGTATGCGTTGTATATGGCTTTTGCCTCCTGAGGATCTCCTACCTAAATGTCATGACATCAAGACAATAGTTATAAAAACTATTTTATAAGACATATTCACTTCTATACCTTAGTTCCCGTGGCGTGAGCTTCAAAATAGTTGACTTTCAAGGGATCGACGTCTGCCTCTTCATACACTTTAATCATGAGCTCCTCCTGACTCTCAGCCGACGGGTAAAACATTCCCATCCTTTTGTTGCCGTCGATATTCACTCCTGAGTTCAAAACTGTCGCATAAATACGTTTTGCCTCTGATTTGCGTACCCGGAGTATATTTGGTATTTTCGACGACAGGACTCAGTGGGGGACAAAACTCTTTAATGTTAGCCTTAATGTTGGTTAAGTGGAGAGCCGGAGGAATGCATTCATTTTCAAATGCAATCAACACTTTGGTTACAGACGACAGACCAGAAGCGCCCTCCGCGTGGCCGATGTTGCTCTTCAGTAGTCCCACATTCAGAGTGCCCTTCCGTTCAGGTTTACCACAGTATGCGTTGTATATGGCTTTTGCCTCCTGAGGATCTCCTACCTAAATGTCATGACATCAAGACAATAGTTATAAAAACTATTTTATAAGACATATTCACTTCTATACCTTAGTTCCCGTGGCGTGAGCTTCAAAATAGTTGACTTTCAAGGGATCGACGTCTGCCTCTTCATACACTTTAATCATGAGCTCCTCCTGACTCTCAGCCGACGGGTAAAACATTCCCATCCTTTTGTTGCCGTCGATATTCACTCCTGAGTTCAAAACTGTCGCATAAATACGTTTTGCCTCTGATTTGCGTACCCGGAGTATATTTGGTATTTTCGACGACAGGACTCAGTGGGGGACAAAACTCTTTAATGTTAGCCTTAATGTTGGTTAAGTGGAGAGCCGGAGGAATGCATTCATTTTCAAATGCAATCAACACTTTGGTTACAGACGACAGACCAGAAGCGCCCTCCGCGTGGCCGATGTTGCTCTTCAGTAGTCCCACATTCAGAGTGCCCTTCCGTTCAGGTTTACCACAGTATGCGTTGTATATGGCTTTTGCCTCCTGAGGATCTCCTACCTAAATGTCATGACATCAAGACAATAGTTATAAAAACTATTTTATAAGACATATTCACTTCTATACCTTAGTTCCCGTGGCGTGAGCTTCAAAATAGTTGACTTTCAAGGGATCGACGTCTGCCTCTTCATACACTTTNAGACATCCGTCGGCATAAGCGGCCGCTATTTCACCGAAAGAGTGACCCATAATTCCGTCCGGAATTATCCCAAGAGCTTGAATGACATCACATAACGCTATCTCTATAGCAGTTGTCGCACAGAATTTGTTTGTCATATTAGACATCGAGTTCTTGTCATCAGACAAGAGAAGGTGTTTTAAGTCTATGTCATAGGGTTTGAGTATTTCATGACATTCCTCTATCTTATCGGCGAAGATCTTGATTGGCATCAAAGCCTTAGCCATACCGACCCACTGTCCTCCCAAACCCGGGAACAAGAAATATACGGGTCTTTGGGTTTTCAGTGTAAACATTGACGACTGCTTTTTATACTCGTATTGATTGTCATTCAACTGCTTCATAATAATTGATCCTAGTCAAATATACAAATGTTTAATAATTTATAAACTCATTTTAAATATTAATAAATACCTCTAAATGGGAATCCACTTGAGTTGAGTGAGGGCTGAATTCTCATAGTTTCGGCCATAAGTGCCAGAAAGTCCCTGGTTATTTTGTCGGGATTATTCTCAATGAACTTAAACACATCGTTCAACGCCTCCTCAGTTCTGCAGCAAATGTTAACAATCCTGGGAATAGTGTCCGCAATCTTAATGCTATTCTCGTCACAAACTTTATAATTTGGTTCAAGCAATACGTTTGCGTTCACACCTCCCACTCCAAAGTTGTTCACTCCAGCGATACCTTAATTTTAATCGTAAATATTATAATACAAATAGATTTACATTATTAACAGTAAGTAAATTATACTAATACTCTGTATAACATACCCGGAGTATATTTGGTATTTTTGACGACAGGACTCAGAGGGGGACAAAACTCCTTAATGTTAGCCTTAATGTTGGTTAAGTGGAGGTTCGGAGGAATGCATTCATTTTCAAATGCAATCAACACTTTGGTTACGGACGACAGACCAGAAGCGCCCTCCGCGTGACCGATGTTGCTCTTCAGTAGTCCCACATTCAGAGTGCCCTTCCGTTCAGGTTTACCACAATATGCGTTGTATATGGCTTTTGCTTCCTGAGGATCTCCTACCTAAATGTCATGACATCAGTAAAAACTACTTTATAAGACATATTCAATTCATACCTTAGTTCCTGTGGCGTGAGCTTCAAAATAGTTGACTTTCAAGGGATCCACGTCTGCCTCTTCATACACTTTAATCATGAGCTCCTCCTGACTCTCAGCCGACGGGTAAAACATTCCCATCCTTTTGTTGCCGTCGATATTCACTCCTGAGTTCAAAACTGTCGCATAAATACGTTTTGCCTCTGATTTGCGTTGCAAAAGGAAACAGCAAACAGTCTCTCCCCTCACAAATCCGTCGGCCTTTTCGTCCCATACTTTGGGAATGCCGTCCATTGCATTCAAACGCGTCGACTGAAAGATGTGGTTAGAGAAGGGCTGAAGACATATCTGCGTTCCGCCCACTATTGCCTGACGACATTTGCCTGAGTTTTGAAATATGATAGAAATTGTCAAATAATAGTGAACAGGAATACAACGGATTGCAAACCAAGTCTCATATCATTGACGGCCTGATTGAGTGCCACCAAACTGGAAGAGCAGGCCGTGTCGATGATCATTGAGGGACCCTTGAAGTCAAACACAAACGACACGCGATTGGCATAAAGACATTTCTGTGATCCGGGTAACCACAGCAATGTCTCCGTCATGTTATTCTGCGAGTCCGGCATCACGTCTTCGGGGGTTCCGTCGGGCATTCCGAACGTTGAGAACCCGATATACACTCCGGTGTCTGAGCCACGAAGGGTCTGGGGGTTGATACCTGTTTTGGTGATTTAACATTTAGTAAAGCAGTTCTATGTGTTAATTAAGCAATTAGTAATATATGGCATACCGGCGTCGATGATACACTCATATGTAGTTTCCAAAGCCATTCTCGATTGGGGATCAATAACATCGGACATTGTGTTCATAATCCCAAAGAAAAGTCCGTCAAACTTCTCAATGCTTTTCAATTTTCCCATTCGAGGGTTCATTCCAAACAAATCTACATTTTATAAGTTATTCAGACTTTAATGTTTCAATTCTTTATTGATTATCAGTGAAAAGGTGTTAAAAACAAAATTTAAAAAATTTGCCGAACGTTTTCGGTCTACATTGAGACCATCATCAGGGCTAAGATGTTAAAGAGATAATAGAAATGATCATCGTTTTAACAAATGTTTGAATATTCACATAAATCTACATTTGATAATTTAATTTTAAAAAATATTTCAGAACTTATGAAAGTATACAATATTTTACTGATACACTTCTCTAATTTAGATAAAAACATTTTTTAAAATTTTTGTATGAGCTGTAAAGCATATATTGTAGAAACAATTTCAATGTATTGTATAGAAATACCAAAATTAATATAATTTGAAATAGTTAATTTATTCAACATTTTGATTTAATTAAGTTAAATCTTTAAATCTTTTTAAGGAATCATAGGAATTATAAAAACATTTAAAATTACAGTATTAACAAATTGGAGTACCGGTATATTAAATATGTTGAAATAAAATAAGTAGACTAAAATAAACTAGAGCAGGCATAATTCAAAATAATAGTCAGACCTGTAGGCCAGCGTCTATTATCTTCGGTAATCATATCGATCCCATTAAACAGATTGTGTGCGAACTCATCGGTAGAGTTAGACTCTGGATACCGACCACCCATTCCACTGATCACTATATCCTCGTCCAAAATAGTCGACAAAACCTTTTTCGTAGACATAATTGTAAAGAAGTAAGACTTAAATGAATTGTTTTTTGAAGTTTATGTTTCGGAGTTAAGACTATAAGAAGAACTGTTATCTAACTGTGCGGTCGGACTTCATATTTATAGGTTATGCCAACAATTGGTTTATTTTTTTAGACAAGCGGGGAAATTTTTTTTTAAAAACTTTCTCTAAGTAAGATTAATTTGTCTAAAAATGAATTACCAATTATAATCTCATTATTATGTATGCGGTGAAGGGTTTTCCATAAATACTCCAAAATAACAATAACAAGAAATCTTTTCATTCAAAATCTGTGGTAAAAATTTTCCTATAATTGAGATTAATATTGAAGAAATCGCATTTCTTAATTTAAACATAACTTCTATTATATTTAAAGTAAATTATTTGTCAAAACAATAGTTAATTAGTCATAGGAAGGCCTGTTACGCGAGTTATTGTCGTAAGAGTACCGCAAGAAATGCAATTAAAATGTTTGTTTTGAAAGTTTTCAATGTGTCGACACTCATTAAGTTTCATAATAGCCATTCATCAATATTATAATTTCATTAATTTATAATTGGTTTATACTTATTTCCTCGAAAACTATATTGAATTCAAGTGTGAATTGTATTGAACACGAAAACCAATGCAACCTTCATATGTGTAAATTTTACGCCACATATAAAGTATAAAAATAAATTAATTTTGTATTCAATTATTGATCGATAAATAATTATTATAATAATTGTTATAATATTGTTTAAATGTGGTTTGTTTTGACAGTAAATAGACTATAATATAGTAGATATTATTTGTTATTCTTAGAAATTTAATAAATGCAAAATATTATTCAAACCAAATAAAGTGCAGATATCAGTTACAAACGTATACATAATCATATTTTATACTAACTAGTGATTATTAAACAGAAATCTGTTATAATATATACAATTAAACCCCATTTCAAATATTGTGAAATTGTTGTGAAATCATCAGAATAATTTATACTATTAATAACTTGATGCTATTAATAGATATACTTTGTAGTATCAGTGTCAATTGTATGCAACCGATTGATTTGAACAGCGATTGATACAATGTTTAGCACACAATAGTACAGTACAGTGCAAGTGACCATACTGTGTAACCACACATCAGTATTATCATACCACTATTAAGAGTTAAATTAAGGTTTTGAACAAAAATAATTAATAAATACTTTAGAGTACATTTGATGAACATTTTTGTCATTCAAGTCGACCACTAGACCATACTTTAAAATACGTACAATTAGTACTTAAATTAATTATAGAAATGATGATTAATTATAAAAGCAATCATTTAATGTTTGATGTCAGAAAGTAATTGTGTTCAAATGAATTGAAATTAATGATTGAGTTGTGATTTCTAAAGTTAACTTCAGATTTAAACTCAAAATTTTTTTGACCATTGTCCTTCAGAAATAAAATTTTATTTTGTTACATGAAAATATAATCCGGATTTATTTGATCTCAACAACATGTATTGTATTGACAAATATTGTCTAGAATATGATTTGATTTCTTTTTCAAATACAAAAATAGTTTATATTTATTACTTTTTAATTATGAATTTCATTCACTTTTTATTACTAGTTTCAATATAAATATTAATTTCAAACATTATGAATATATAATTATATTCAATAATCTATCATTTTTATGCAAATGACAATTTCAAGTGTTTACCTTGATCTCTATTTTTATCATAATTATAGTATTGTATTTGACTTTTAGTTTCAATACGTTTGCTCAATTATTTCAATAATTAGTCAAATTCATATATAAGAATACAATACATTTAATTTGTTATGAAGCAATATCCACACTATACTGGTATTAACTTAATATTGATTAAACATGTATTTTACACTATACTATATAGAATATATGCTAAATACATAATGAATCCATAATATAACTTTAATTTTATATATTGTGTACAACTTTATTGTTAATTTATAGATATAAACATGTTTTCTAACTTATTATAGACATAGTACACTATACTAATGAACATGCATTAAATTACATAATAAAACATAAACTTTAAGCTTACTATAATTTAAATAAAATGTAGTGTAAAATTAATTACTGTACTGTAATATTTTTAATCATAAAACAACTTAATAAATATTTATTTATAAACCGGGACGTATACAGTATAAGTTATACTGGGATTGGTGTCAAATTAAACCTCTTATATCTACTTAACTCGATTAAATGATTGAATGATCAGTGTCAATTGAAATAGAGGACCAACACGTGTGTCATTACAGAATATTCTGTATATTACAGCAAAGTATGTGAAATAAAATACTAAAAGGTTTGAAATTCAAACTGAATAATATTTTTGAAAATATCGTTTACTATTATATTAAAGCATTATATTTTGTATAATTAATATTAGTATTGATTATTGAATATGAGAATTATGTTAATTAAGAGTTACATTCAATGATCTAACTATTCGTCCCATGACTCTACTAGTGAGCACCGGTATGTGAGCACCGGTATGTATGCAATTTTTGTTTGTCTTTTCAATTGTATTAATTCTATGAATCAAAAAGGGTATGAATTTCAGTCAGTTATTAATATCATAATGAATTACAATGCTAACTATTAATAACTATCAATAATTGTAATTCATTATTATGTTAAAGATATTTATTATGAAATAATGAATTCATAAGTGATTGAATGGATAAAAGTAAATTTTATTTCATAATAAATCAAATGATAACATCAAATATATATATATTTAACAAATACTGAAATAAAAATGATAATTATATTTCAATTAACAATAATAAAAGTTTGAAAAAATGAAAATAAAGTATAAAAATATATCGAAATAGTAATAAAAATATTTCCATATTTATCAAAATAATAATAATAATAAATCCCAACTCCTAATGAATAGTTGCTAATAAAATATAGGAATAATACTATAATATAAAAAATATAATAATAATAATAATAATAGCAATAAAATAATATTATAATAGGTTTTGATTGAAAATAAGATATTGTCTCAAAAAAGTGGTTTATCTGATAAAACGTGTTTATCTAATAAAAACTAATCTGTAGTCATATAGTCATAGAAAACAATGTGCTTTCAGTGATAACTCAAATAAATTGACGGCAAAAGAGTTAAGAAATTATTTTTTACTCAAAAACTCGTTCATAGAAAACGATATCTTTTCAAAAGCATTCAGTGATATGGACTCCGGATTGGCGTCAATGGTCTCGAAGTTGAGTTTACCCTCCAGTCCCTGCAAATGAATTATCAACACAATTAGTGGCTGTCCCACAGTATACATGACAATCAATAGATAGGGGAATACCTTCTCTGGGAGGAAGTAGGCATTTTTGATGCGTTCGGACATGTCCTGGTCCACTTCAGACACTTTCGTATTTCCGAATTCAAACAATTTAATGATCAATAGTTTGCCATTCATTTCGAGATATTTGCGTCCGATTTCTATCTTGATTTTCTTGAACTTATTCTTCATATTGAACCGATAGGTCGAGAAGAGTTTCGCTCTTTTGAATGAATTGATGAGAATGTCCTCTAAGTCGCGGCTGACCAGCGATTTGCCCACAAAGTCCTTCAACTCATCACTGATTTTGATGAGTTTCGAGTTGGGGTCCGGTTTGAGGGCCACGTCTCGCCTGATCTTATCCTTTACTACTTTTGGCAAATCTTTGGCAATGAATGTGATAATCAGTTCCAGTAAGTAGTCGTCAGACATCATGTCCTCATCAATCTTGATGTCGGAGAGCATATCAATGATGACGGCCTTACCGATGGGCGCCTTCTTCTTAAGCATTTGCATAGCTATGAGAGCGCCGTAAAAGTGGCCGACGATATCGTAATCGCCTTTCGGGTGAATGGCTTTCAATAAATCGATATAATATTTGCTGATCTCCTTCAGCGAACCCATGTTCTCCATGTCTTTGATCCAATTGAGACCAATGACAGGTCTGTCCATCTTCTCGGCCAACGCTTCCAGAGATGCGAATATGCCTTCGAGTGGAGGCAAGAAATATATAGGTTTTCCTGTCTTTCCGCTATTGAGTTTAGTGAACGCATCGGTAGGTATAATGAACTTAATCTTGCTCAATTTGTTTCGACACGATTTCAAGTCGTCGGCAAATACTCTCAACTCATCGATCTTTCCGTTCTCGAAGTCTTTCATCATTCTTATGGTCACGTTCTTGATGTCAGTCAACGACACTTTGATGTCGTAATCCCTTTCCAATCCCTGCTGTAGTTCCACCGCAAACATAGACTCCATACCGATCTCTCCCAGAGTCAAGTGATCGGGCGTTGTCTTGGGGTCGATACCCAACGCACACCAAATCTGACTCACAATTCGCGACTCTTTAGTACCGCTTTGAGTCAATCGTTTCGCTCTCACCTGTAGTTTGAAATACAAATCATTTATTAATTGTCTAATCATTTGATTTCACGATTCAATCAATACGTACAACACATGAAACGACAGGTTTCTGTGATTGAAGCAATTTATCCAAAGTATCCAAACATGAGTTGATCCTCTGTTTGACAATTCCGGACAACGCACTCATCTCAGTGTCGGCTATAACGCCCACATCACCCACAGGTCCCCATTGGATGGCCAGACCGTTGAGGCCATCCTTTTTCCTGAGTTCACAGACGCGTTCGCAGACAGAGTTGGCGTAACCATAGTTGGCTTGACCCGCATTACCCTTACCACACGTTACCGATGAAAACACCACAAAGTAATCCAGATTCAATTTCGACTCTCGAGTGATTTTATCCAAATTCTCAAATATCTTAGTCTTTGAATCAATAGTTTCCTGGAATTTATCAAAGGTTTGGTTCTCTAGAAGACAGTCATTGAGAACGAGAGCCAAATGAAAGACACCGCCGATTGGACCTAATTTGGAGGCCTCAGCCATAAGACCTTTAGCGCCTTCAATGGTGTTTGAGTTATGAGTGGACACAACGATGTCTGACCTAAACATCTGCAGATTGACGCCAAACGACTTCAATCGGTCGACGATATACTTCTGGTACGCCGTCTTCACGCCTTTCCTAGAGGTGAGTACAAACTTTCGGGCGCCTAAGTGCAGCATCCAGTGAAGCAATTCAATGCCAAAACCACCCAAACCTCCTGTTATTATATAGACTTTGTTTGCGTTGAAGTATGTCTTAGTGGTGGTCTTAAGAGTGGGCGCCGGTGTATAACCATTCACCACAATCTTCATGTTCTCCTCTTCTCTCATTTTGAGCACAATTTTTCCCATATGTTTACCGGTTGTCATGTATCGGAACGCCTTCTCCGCCTCTTCCGCTTTGAATATATTCTTATTCAACGGTTTAATCATTCCGTTGTTGCAGTTCTTATGCATCCAATCGAAGAATCTGTCGATGAAGTCCTTATCCATAAACAGCTTCCTATCAGCAGATACTCCGATGAAAGAGATATCTCTGAGGAATGAAAACATTCCCAACTGTTTGTTCATTTGGAGGTCATATTTGCCGATCTCTACAAACCGACCGCAATCCGCAACGCATTCATAACTGGCCTCAAGTTTGTCTCCTGTCAACGAATTCAAGACAACGTCGACTCCCTTTCCTTTAGTCAATGCCTTAATTCTGAACTTAAACTGAATATCTCTTGAACTGAATATTCTGTTCTCAGGAATATTGTATTCAGTCATTAAGAACTTCTTCTTATCTTCGGTACCGACAGTCGCGAAGATATCCATATCATAATTCTGGCAAATAGTGATGGCTGCCTGTCCTATACCACCCGCGGCTGAGTGGATAAGAATTGAATCGCCTACAAGTAATGTCAATTCACTATTAATAAGTTGTTCTCAAATGTCAATCCCTTTAGCATACCTTTGCGAATGTGTGCCCTTTCTATGAGACCATACCATAGGGTACTGTATGTGCAGAGAATGGTGACGGCGTCGTCCATCGACCAGTTGTCGGGAATGGTTGTAATGCACTGTTCCATAGCATCCACTGATGTGGCAAAGCATCGACTCATATCGAAACCACAGACACGCTCTCCGGTGTCTCTTCGACGGCCGGCGAACTCAATACCGATCAGACAGTCGGTGAACAAACTGAGCGGACCTGACGCTATGCGACCTGGGTCATACAACATGCAATTAGTTTAGTTATAAATTATATTCAATTCAAATGTCATACCGGTGGCAAACATAACGTCTTTAAAGTTGAGTCCAGCGCTATATATATTGCAGTTCACGTATTTGGTCTCTCGGTTCTGGATGTCATAACCTGTGGTCTTGCGGTTCAAGTTCTTCATGTCATACCACTGAAGACTTGACAGATCTCTGTTGAGTCCATTATTTAAGAAGTACTCATTTGATTGAATCTGATCGTAGTCTTTAGGCAAATTCAAGTGCCTATAAGTGCCTAACTGTCCGTCTTTCAAGACATTAACGGCTAAATCATTGGCCAAAACATTATAGAAAGGCTTGTCCTTGAAGTTGACGGGAGTGTTGTCGCAGTTGAACAGACATCGGATGGTCTCCCCTCCCGGCTCTAATCGGAGACAATTAATGAGACCAACGATTCCGTTCTTAGACGAGTCGTTGGCGATCAGCCAAATCTCTTCATCATTCCTCTCACTCTCCTTCTGATCCAAGAGTTTCTGTTTAATTGTCTCAAACCATTGCTCGGTTTTGTCATTAATCTCAATGACATTCTTGTCGTCCGGCAGTTCCGGCTCTTTAGTGGCGATCTTTCTGAACAACAGAGCGGTCGTACCGATTGAGTCCGACTTACTGCTGATGACACTGAATCCCACGCTTTCGGCCTCTTTGGCGAAATCGTTGATCCGTTTAATTAGATCTCTTTCGTTGACATTGTTTTTGCCTTTCAATGCATTCAACGCGAGCTCCGGTTCTGTGAGTCGATAGCGGAAGACAGAGATCAGGAAACCTTTGCTCGAAATACAGTCGTATAACTCCTGCAGGAAATCGGCGAGACTTAAGTCCCACAAGTCTTGCGAGTCGTTGAATACGACCAAATTGGCCAGGGTCACGTCCACCGGGAAACTCGACTTCTCGACGTCCCATTCGGTCACTTTGAATGACTTCCTCACGTCTTCCTTCACATTAGACGTCGATTTGACGGCTATATTGTAGTCGACGTCAATCGGATATATGGCCGCAGACGCCAAATGATTGTCGATCTCTTCGGCGAAAATATTTTTATTGAAATTAATTTCCAATACTTTGATCTCTTTCTTCGGGACATTGTTTTCGCTGACAATATCCACAAGAGTTCTGATGAGGCGCTCGTTCTTCGAGACCCGGTTTATCATATCCAACGACAGATCGTATTCTGGTTTTTGCAGCAAATCTGACACAAAGTCATTGAGCTTTCCGTCCACGAGATTCTGGTTCTGGTCCACAGACTTCTTCGAGATTTCATTAAACACTTTCAACAAAACGTGATCTTCTTTAGTGTCGATGTCTTTGTTGTATTCGTGAATCAAATCGTCGTTTATTTCAAAATTCTTGGATTCACTTCTGTCTGAATCGAAGTTATTCTTGATTTTATTGGCTACCGTTGAACAGACCTAACCATACGGACAGTTATTAAACTAAATTATATAATGACATTGAAATCACAATTGAAACAAACCTTCAAATACTCCATAACTTTCTTTTTATCACTTTCTTCGATAGCGTTATAGTCTTCGTTAGTAATGTATTCATACGATTCGAGTTTGAGATCCTGAGCGTTCACTTTGCGAGGGATGGGCAGAGCCATCAGGTCCTCCACCTCTATACCCGGCGCCACAATCATCCGGGAAGTCATGTCCACATAGAATGGAACCATTGATTTGTAAATATGGAAGTCCTGTCCAATGAGCTCCTCGACGGTGTCCACATTATTCTGGTCTAAGATTGTACTGAAATCCTTGTCCACAGTCTCGACATT